AGACACACTATAAAAATAAAAATATAAACAATAGAAATAATTTATAATGATACATATATTGTCAAATAACATTGTCATATATATATGCACTATATTAATATGTAGTTTATGCATTAAGGTAACCTAAATCCTGATGATCAAGCCGACACATCAGATTTACATGATCCTTGGAGTACAGAACCTAAACGCCATCCAGTACTGAAAGCTGCTTCACAGAAACCATTCAATGCCGAGCCTCCTCTGAAATTGCTCTGTGATAGTTTTTTCACACCAAAGTGAGTGTTTATTGTAGTGTGCATTATTAGGATCAATCAAAAGCACCCAATTTACCAAATATATTTATATTTTAGTGAAATGTTTTATGTACGTAATCATTTACCTGTACCTGACATTAATGTTGAAGATTACGAACTTGATATCTCTGTGGAAATAGCTTGTGACAAATCAGTGACTAAAGAAGCAACTTTCAAGTTAGATGATATTAAAAAATTGCCAAAATATTCAGTCAGCGCAGCTATAATGTGCGGCGGAAATCGACGGTCAGAAATGACTAAGGTAAATATTAATATTTAATAATTCTCATAATACTATGTCATTTATTTCTGCATATTTTACCACGTAGTAATAAATTAAGAAAGTTTTGTATTTTCTCGGGGTTTCAATTCATTATGAATCGTTTTACGACAAAATTTTAAAAAGTGACGAACACAACCAAACGTAGCGAGCAATGTTCCGCAACTTGTGGGTACATCGAAGAAAATTGTTTGTTCATACATGAACTCGTATGTGCAGTGTAGACACTACCACAAATGTAGACAAACATTTTTCTTTTTTGATGTTAATATGTGCAGTCCTGCATTTGTTTATTTTAAATAATTTTTCTTTTTTCCGCCACGATACATCTTCCCATGATACATCTTTTAACAAAGAAGGTTCAAACCCTAGACAATATAATAATAATATGTTTCAAGCCTTCACTGCTTTGAGGCGTTTGTTCAAGTTGGTTTGGAATGATTCGCCTTCGTTCATTAAGTGAGGAGCACCTTAACTTTCCGTTTGTCGATCTTTACCAGAAGCTAATCAGCACGATTACCGACCTTTCGAATGGTTTTTAAATTTTTCAAAATCAAGATCGCTAAGCTAGTCAACGCAAGTCTTTATCAAGCCTCATGAAATGGCTTTAAAATTTTTGAAATCGGTGCAACCGTTTTTAAGAGAACGTCGACGAAAAGCGAAGTTTTTATTTATTTTCTTTTCCGTAATTTTCTCACAAATACATTGCCACACAGTTTCTAATTTTGGTGCCAAATGATTCAGAATGACTCAAAAGATCGAAAAAAATAAAATTAGCAAATCAGATTCTGTTTCTAATATTTCGAATTATTAATTTTTCCAAATAAAGGTTAAAGATGTTCGAGGTTTGACTTGGGGTGCAGCAGCTGTTGGTAATGCCACATGGTCTGGAGCCCGATTAGTTGATGTTTTGGAATCCATGGGTATTAAATCAGATGAAGAAAGTCATGTGCAGGTAAGTCAATTTTTTTAATATATGATGATGTCTGTAAAGTAACACTAGGTTCTAAGACCTTTTAAGACCTCTTATTACAATAATCTTATTATAGGGCCTCAACAGTATTTTAATGAAATTTTCTTGTCTTTTTTTACCCAATATCTATTTCATCATTCCATATAGATAAATGTATGACTACACCTATAAAAGTAATATTTTTCAAGACCTCTTATTACAATAATCTTATTATAGGGCCTCAACAGTATTTTAATGAAATTTTCTTGTCTTTTTTTACCCAATATCTATTTCATCATTCCATAGATAAATGTATGACTACACCTATAAAAGTAATATTTTTACAATAATCTTATTATAGGGCCTCAACAGTATTTTAATGAAATTTTCTTGTCTTTTTTTACCCAATATCTATTTCATCATTCCATAGATAAATGTATGACTACGCCTATAAAAATAATATATGTTGTTTTGTCGTTTAATCCAATGATGATCAAAATTTTATAATTTGTTTGCATTATAATTTTATATTGTTTGCATTGGAATTTTGTGATTTGAGTAGCATTTTTCATATGGTTCCAATCTTTATGCAACACCTTCATATGATTTTTAAATTTTATATAAGTATAAAAATATATTTTCTAAATTCTATACATTCCTGAAAAATTAATAAACTTTTTCTTTAATAAATATTAACCTTTTAACAAATGAAAACATAAACATTTTTTGTATTTCTTTAAAATTCCATTCCTTTCGATAATTGGTGAAAAAGTAAATAAACAACTCGAAAGTTGCAATTTTAGTATTTTAGGAGCAATGCTTTAATGTATCAGCGTAATAAAAATATGTTCATATTAATATATCCAATGATGTTTTTCTATATTTGAAAACCTATGTGAAAAAGAACATTTCACATTATTGATATAATTTAAGAAAATATAGAATTTTGCAAAAATATGCCTTTATACTTTAATTTAAAATCCAAATTTAATAGTTGATTGATTTTCTTGAATCCTTATTTACTGGTTGTTTATTTTTATTAGTTCATAGGATTAGATGCTGATCCTACAAATACAACTTATGGTGCTTCAGTGCCATTATCGCATGTAATGAATCCACGAAATGATGTGCTGCTTGCATATGAAATGAATGGAAAACCTCTGAATAGAGATCATGGTTTTCCCTTGAGGGTTATTATACCAGGAGTAATTGGTGCTAGGAATGTTAAGTGGTTAGGTATAAATATTACTATTTAATTAAATTTTTAAAATTTTTCTAATTTTTTTAATAACCATTTTTTTAAATTGAGTGTGTAGTCTAGGCAAATAAGTGTTATCACATACTTTTAACTCCATTTTACCAATTATTTCTAGATTGAGCACTCTTTCCTTACTATTGATTATCAGTTACTTTTACTATGATATATTTTTATTTAGGATCAATAGTCATATCCTCAGAGGAGAGTGATTCCCATTGGCAACAAAACGATTATAAAGGTTTTAGTCCAAGCACGGATTGGGATACAGTTGATTTTACTAAGTCACCTGCTATACAGGCAATGCCAGTAACATCTGCCATATGCCTACCTCAGGAGAATGAAAAAGTCAAACCTGAAAATGGATTTATCAAAGTTAAAGGTACAAATAAGGAATAGTTAAAAAAAATTTTTTTTAAGAGTTTTTGAATCAGATTTGTTATCATGGTACACTTTTTAATTATAAATAATATAATTTATTAGTGTACCTCAAAATATACTATTTCATTTTCTCAAATTTATTACTATTTTGACTTTTAATATAAATCAGTAATAAGTACTTTTTATAATGAAAAATATTTTAACTAGGATATGCTTGGTCTGGAGGTGGCCAAAGGATTGTGCGAGTAGATGTAACAGGTGATCAAGGTTTAACATGGACGACAGCGAAACTGGAGCAAGGTAAAGAACCTTCATCACGACACTACGGTTGGACTTTGTGGACTGCTGAAGTACCTGTTCAAAAGGGTGTGAAAGAGGTATTTAGTGAATTAATTTTTACAATGTTCAGATTTATTACTACAATATTAACTGTATAAAGTCATGTTGTTTCATGTAAGAACAATATTATTATAATAATAAAGAAAGTATTTTTTCAACCTTATTTAAAAAAATATATTTTCTTAAATAAGGTTGAATAAATACTTTATTATTCTTATTATAAATGCATTACTATTTTTATTAATTGGTATCATAAATTTAAAGTAATAAAATTTAATAATTAATAAAATAGGAATTAAAAAACTATGTTTTGAAATGGTATTTTATGATGAACTAGAAAGTAATGATTATTATAAATTCGAATATTTTTTAATTTGACTTTATAGATGGAATTGTGGTCTAAAGCAGTTGATTCAAATTATAATGTTCAGCCCGAAAGTTTTGCAAATATTTGGAACCTTAGAGGAGTACTAAGTAACGCTTATCACAAGGTGAAAATAAATATTAAGTGAAGGAATACTTAACTGGCGTTGCCAGTAAAATTATATTTACATCACAACAAAATAATACATAAGTGAATATGTATAAGAAGAAACTTAAAGGAGTTTATGCATCTCTTAATATTAGTTTTTATAAGCATTAAGTGCATCTGTTATTAATTTATGTAAGCACTAAGTGCAAATTGACTATAAAATGGTTGTAATTTATAATATTAATTGTTATTAGTGATCTGAATAGTTTTAAATATGTGTAAGGAAAGATATATATTTGCATGTTCAAAAAATTGCCTTGATAAATGATTATAATAAAAATATTAAATATTTATGTAAAATTATAAATTATTTATGAATCATTGCAAATAAAAGTATATATTTTATTTATTTATTATGCCTTTTCTGTTTTAATTTCTGATTTGGTTAAGAATTAATTAATTAATATCTTTATTGAAATTAGAGTTACTGACTTTTGTGCAATTTTTGCTACAATATAAATTTATTATCCAGCTTTTTTATGTTATGCTCTTTTAACCAGAGTTATTACAATTATCAAAGCCGATCGAAAGCAGGTTACTTGTAAATAATTATTTATTAATATATAAAAGAACTCCTTTTGCAAACCATAATCACATTCTAAAAAATAAAAGCTGATTTTTTAACGTTTTGTTTTTCTAATTTTTAATTTTCAATAGTTTATATATAAAATTATATTCGATTGCCAAAAACAACAAACTGAATCACTCATTAATGTTCTATATTATTGTGTAGACCCCCATTTCTCCACGTTTAATTAATTTTTAGTAATATATTTTAAAGTAAACAATACTTTTAGTACATTTTGACATATGAATTGTAAATGTCGATAAAGTAACTAGCAACTTTTTAAGTGCGAACGGTGCCAACCTTAGATAATATATTAAATTATTTTGCTAGCTATCTCTACGCCATCTTAAGTCGCTTTGTTAACGTCCTATGAAAATCCAAACATTTTTGTTGTCGCATGTATTATAAATTAAATAAAAAATGATTTTTAAAGTGATTTATTTTGGTTAAGATACACAAATTTTACATTGATTTAAAATTTTCGTGCAAGTTATTTGCGTCGATTCATTATGTAGAATTCTTATAGTATGTTAATAATTACCCGACAACTATTACTATTACTATAGACCTATAGCGAATTGTTAGCACTTACAAATATTGTAAAATTTGATACCGCTCAGGTAATAATGGTACAACCTTTTTGCAAGTACGATGACCAACAAGCTACAGTTGTGATATGGTGAAAATTCAGTTAAAACATTATTGATTTCAAATTAATAATTCGATTAGTTTTTATAGATTGTGTATGTAGCTTTGTTATAAAAATTAACTTTATTAAAAGTTAATTAATGAGGCTGATAAAACCAAGTTGGATACACCATGAAGGTAAGCGTTGCATTTGTTAAATAAATGTTTATAATATTATATTATATTTATTGCGGTAATATTTTGGTAGTAATATAAATATTATTTGTGCGATACCAATTTTTATATAGGAATCTAAAATAAAATTTTGTTTGTACGAAAATGTAAGGTTAACTTTTTTTAGCTAGGTGTCAACGTATTTCCAACTACAAATATTGTCTTTTTCTGTAAATGCATTGATAATTTTAATGATATAGTATGTCATAATACTAAAATTTAATAAAATTTAAAATAATTAATTTAAATTTTAATATTTAAAATCATTATATCAAGTTTCAAGAGTTAACAAAGAAATTTATAAAAAAAATTAATTCCTATTTTTGCCTTATAGCAATATGTAATAAACTATAGCTGAGAATGTTTGCAATATTATTAGAAATTATTCATTTTATCATCATATTTACTAGAAAGTGCAATGCATAATTTATCAACAATTAAATTCCTTTTTTCAAATTGTTTTTTACCAATCTGTTTGGAATATTGTTGGTAACTTATAATACCAAGTAGTAATTAAAATCATTTTGATTTTAAATTTAATTCTTCTTTTAATCATAAACTGTATGAAAATGACGTTTTATTTTTTTAGAGCACCCCACATAATTTTAAATGATTTTGAGGATGGTTCTCTGGGAATGTTTTTTATGTTATATAAGCAATTAGTTTTCATAATCATTAAAATAACAAAAATATTAAAGATACATGTGTACATATAAAACGCATTATAATTCTCAACTTTGAATTATAACTTAATTGTTTTTAGGTAAACCAATATTTTCAATTGATGTTCATCCTTCTGGAAATAAACTTGCAACAGGAGGCCAGGGGGGAGATTCTGGAAGAGTGGTCATCTGGAATTGGGCCCCCTTAGTCTCACTCGATGCTGAAAATGATCCCAATGTTCCAAAAATATTGTGTTTAATAGATCAGCACTCAGGTAATAACAAGTGAACATTATATTCAATTATGAATTCCTTTTTGTATATTTACATATTAAAAATAATCTGGCAATTATAGCAAATATCTTTTTATTTACAATAACAATTTGTTTAAGAAAAAAGTTGTTAGTATTGTATAATATTTTTTATTGTATTGTTTTTAATTTAATAGTACATAGCAAAATAATTATGTAATAATATTTTGCATGTATAATTATATTTTTAAAGCTTGTGTAAATTGTGTACGATGGAGTTGGAGTGGAACAATGTTAGCATCAGCGGGAGATGACAAACTGATCAAGATATGGAAGAAAGGAGCAGGAACAGGCGGAACTGTTTTTGGTAGCAAGGTTGTTAATAAGGAAAATTGGAAATGTTCAGCTACTTTACAAATTCATCAAGGTAATTAAAGCTAGTAAATTCACTTATATTTACTATATAATTAATTTTTTTTTTTTTTAATTGACTCGTATTATGCATAAATGTAAAAGTAATAGGTCAATATTTTTCAAAAAATTGAATTAATTACTGAGTTTTCTGTTAGTTATAGTGTTTAATTTTTAGACTTTGAATGTTATAATCTTGTTTTATTAATAAATAAATTAAATTAAATCATTTTACAATTTTTCCAGGTGATATTTTGGATTTGTCATGGTCACCAGGAGATCGGTGGCTAATGAGTTGCAGTGTTGATAATACAATAATTATTTGGGATACTACAACTTTTACTGTAAAAGAACAACTTAGTGGGCATACGGGAATGGTGAAAGGTGTGGTTTGGGACCCTGTAAGTATGAAACTTACATTAATTATATTTGATTGTTATATATTATAATTTATATTTATTTTGAAAATTTATAATAAACTCGATAATTCAATAAATGAATGCTAAATTTTAGGTTGGTAAATATTTAGCTTCACAATCTGATGATAAGAGTGTTAGAGTTTGGCGTACGTCAGATTGGATGCAAGAAGCTGTTATTACGGAACCTTTTGCTAAATGTGGAGGTATTTCCTTTTATATACATTATTATAAAGTATTAGTTAATATTCAAACTTTAATTCTGTTTATATTAATTTTATAATTTATTTAAAATTAATTGCATTCACTTCAAAATACCATAATAATTTTATTTATTATTTTTATGTTTTAATCCATGTAATATTTTAGGTACTACTCATGTTTTGCGTCTTTCCTGGTCACCAGATGGTCAGTACTTGGTTTCAGCTCATGCCATGAATGGCAGAGGTCCAACAGCCCAAATAATTGAACGAGATGGATGGAGCAGTGACAAAGATTTTGTTGGCCACAGAAAAGCTGTAACATGTGTTGTAAGTGAATATTTAAATACAGCCCAACACACACCTTTCTCTAACAATCACACTTTTTGTGATATTGATAAAATTTAATATAGAATTAATGCAGTTATAAATAGAAAATATTTTAAGTTTCTACATTTCTTCTTTAGTTCTAACTTTTTTTTCAACAAAAGAGTTCTAAAAATAATTAAAACTAAAAAAGTGTATGATAATGGTTTGATTTTATATATCAGGTGATATAAGAAGCTTTCAATTTGTTATTCTAATGTTATTTTCTAGTTTTAACAATACAGGAAATAAATACACAATTTTTCTCACAGAGATTCAACAATAATATAATGGAACGAGGCGCTAGGCCTGGAGCCCGGCCTGTCAAATATTGCTGTCTTGCTATGGGATCACGAGATTGTGCATTATCTGTTTGGTGCACTTCAGATCACAGACCATTATTTGCAATACATGATTTATTCACAAAGAGTGTAATGGATCTTTCATGGAGTGCTGATGGTGAATTCTTAATTTATTTTTGATAAACATACTCAGTGATTATTAGAAAATGATCAGTGGTTAATTAAATTGTATATTACAACTTGTTTTTTAAGCGAAAATGAAAGTGAAAATGTTATTAAAGAGAATGTACAATTGTATTTTTTGTAATTAATTTAATGATCAAGTTGATTTATAAAGTTTACCATAAATATTTTATCATTCATCTTTATTTTAAATTTTATTTAATTTGTTAATGAATTTGTTAATCTCTTGTAGGATTGTCTTTATTAGCTTGTAGTTGGGATGGCAGTGTAGCATGCTTGCATTTTAAAAGTGAAGAAATGGGTCGACTGTTGACGAGTGCAGAAAAGGTTTTTAACATTGTTTTTTAGCAAGTTATTTTTTACTTATTCTTATATTCTTATCATTTTCCATAGAATGCATTATATGAAAGACTTTATGGACAGTCAGCTGAAAACATAAATGATTCTGGAAATCGCACAATTCTGGAAAGTTGTGATTTATTGGATGAAACCATCAAACCAGTGCCAAATCAAGTAAATGGTGTTGAAGAAACAAGAATAGTATCTAGTGAAGTATCGATTAAAGACCAAAGTTTAAATGTTAGTGTTGAACAAGAAACCATAATCAATAAATCACAACCTCCACCTACTGCACCAAAACCAATAAACAAACAGATTGAAACGAGAACATCTGATGGCAAACGTAGAATTACTCCCATGTTTATCCCAGCAAATGTAGAATCGTAAGTTTCTTTTTTAAATATATAGAATTTTCTCATAATTTAAAAATCATTTTATCAATTATAGAAATAGTTTACAAAATGGAACTAGTTTTCCAAGCAGTGCAGTCATGTCAAACAGTAAAGCAGCTAGTATAACAAATCCTATGGTTAAACCCTCTGTTACCATGTCTAATCAAGTCACTCTTCCTAAGTCAAATGTTGCATCTAATAGGATTATTGATAATAATAAAACTGTAGATGAATCGTAAGTACAATATTTTGATAATCTAAATATTTTATACATAATAAATGGACTTTTATTTGGCTTGCACCGAATATTCGGTTACTATTCGGTATTCGGCATATTTGGCATCTTCTTTGATATTCGGCCGAATACAGAATAGTTAAAATCAAAGGCGCCACTAAGCGACAGCATCGTTGGTGTTTTATCTTTTATCTGATAAAGAGCTCACGATGGATCTGTATTTGGAAGTGTTCATTTTACATAATATAATATGAAGAAATGGTTTTGCTATAATATATATAATATTTAAACTTTATCGACCTTTGAGATTATAAATGAACACATGAAGAACTTTTTTTTTGATTCTTCAAAGAATACTTTGTTACATGTTTATGCTATTTAATTCATATTAACAATTTTAATTCATTTCATATTAATAAATATCATTCAATGGTTGTTACACACATAGATTTGTATCTATACAATAAAGTAGGCTTGCACCGAATATTCGGTTACTAATCGGTATTCGGCATATGCGGCATCTTTTTTAATGTTTGGCCGAATACCGAATAGTAACTTACCATTCGTCCGAATACCAAATAGCTAAAATCGAAGGCGCCGCTGCCGCTCAGCGATAGCATTGTTGGTGTATTATATTTTATGCGATCTGTATTTGGAAGTATTTAGTTTACATAATATAATATGAACATATGAAGATTCTGTTATTGAATATAGAATAATTTAAACTTGATCGACTTTTGAGATTAGAATTCAACACGTGAAGAGCTTTTTACTGAATACTCACAAGATACTTTATTGTCACATGTTTATAATATCTAATATGAATCATTCAATGGTTTCACACATTATTTGTATCTATACAATAAAGTCATTCATTAAATTCAATCTAAGCATTTTCAAATGAAGAGCTGTATTATCGGCTCTTTATTGCAAAATATACAAACAATATTTTTGATCAGTTTATTTTTATTTCATTATAATTAGCCTTCCCAATATATGATAAATAATATTGTGTTAATAAAAAAAAAAATGTTCATGAAAGAAATAATTGAAAACACATTTATACAATATGTAAAGAATCGCTTTTTTCATGATTTTAACATTTATTTCCCGATCACATATGGTATTCAAGTATTTGGTATTCGGCCGAATAATATAAATTGTGCCAAATATTCTAAATAACAAAGAGTAATCGAATAGTGGTTACAAGTTTAGACATAAATTTTGAATAAATGATAATATAGCAACTACTGATAGTAATTACATTATTACGAACGATTTAAGGCGCTAAAAACCTGCCGAATAGTTGCCGAATATTCGGTATTCGGTCTCTGGAGCATGCCGAATATTCGGTATCCGGTATTTTGCCGAATATAGCAGGTCTATTTTTTTATACATAAACATTTTTTTTTGCAATCCACATCGGTGCTAGACAAATATTTTATTTAAAACCTGATTTATGATATTTTCAAGCTTATTAACTAGTATTTTGTCTACAAATTTTTAACCTCCTCCTTTAATGAAACATCTGATTTGCTGATTATGTTTACTTTATTTTTGACGTTATTCTAAATCAAATGAAACCAAATTTGATAAATATGTGTGTTGTGAACCTTGTGCCGACGTTTTCTCAAAAACGGCTGGACGGATTTAAAAAATTTAAAAGTCTAGACATTTTTAAAAATCCAAAAACATTTGAATTGAACATTTTACCTAAATAGCGGAATCTCAATTATTGTTGATTGATTATTTAAGTTCATCATATACACGTATCAGGAAATTCATACAACTTCTCTCAAGGCAAAATTCTGCTTGCAACTAATTAAATTTGTATTCAGGAATGATTAATACTTGTAAATTAATGTATCTTTTTTAGGCCTCTCGATAATAATTAAAAAGGGCTCTAGATTTACCAAGTGTTGGACCTGCAGCAGTTCCAGAAAAAAAAACTAAATTAGATAATGTTCGATCTAATATATCCCAAGCAGGACCATTAGCAGCATTTACTGGAAATGTAGTTCGGGATGCAGGAAAATATAAAATACAGGTGATTCATAATAATTGATTATTTAATGAAGAACATACACAAAAGTTTTAAAACTGATTGCATCAATCTTTTTTTTATTATTTTATTTAATTTAAATTCTTGTAAGTTACATTTAAATGAAATCTGTTTTCCAGTTTTCAAACAATTTCCTAAAGACACAGCATGGACATTTGCATAGTATTAAAGCATACAATTCTACAATGTTATCGGATAATAAATTCTTATGGCAGTATTATACTGGTAAGTCAATAGAGAGTTAAAATATAGCAATGTTTTTTTAATATTGTTTACTTAAAGTATATTTAGTTATGGTTTATATAAAAATCTATATTAATTTTAGCAAAAAATGTTTAATCAAATTACTTATTCAAATGACACTGTTGAAAGTCAGTACGTACTGACTGACTGATATATTAAATAGGTTTTAATAAAAAAAATTGTTGTTATAAAAGGTGCGTCAATTGTGTATGCAGCCTGCACAGCTTCTTTCATATCAGTGGCTTGTGAAGATATGGTAATTCACTGTTTAGAGACTACCTCAGGAAAGCCTGCATTGCCATTAATATCTTTACCAGGACCTTGTATTCGATTAGTCTTAACACCTACAATTATTTAGCTGCACTAACAACAAATTCTCATGTTCTGGTTGGAATATATCTGAAAGAAAAGCTATTTTTCGTGAAACATTTGGACATCTTTTAGCAGATGGTATGACAAATTTGGAATAATAAGAACATAGTAAACATCAAATTGAATTTCGATATGGAATGTATCATATAATTTAGAATCATATATGTAATGTTTATTATTCTATTTATGAAAGTATTTCTATTAACTTGCATAAATTCTTCACTTCTATAGTTTTGTCTTTGAATAAGTTTTATTATTTCATAGCATATGAAAAAAAAAGTTTCTCTCTAGACTCAATAAAGGAAGTTGAAAGATGTACAATTGATTCTTCTGAATCAACTTCTTTTGTTTTTACTGAAAAATAATTGATAAAAGAATATAAGCTTATTTGAAAATATTAAGATCTATTGATTTTTAAATTATTTGCTATATTTACATATAGTTGAAGTGAATATTTAGGAATCTTGTTTAAAAAATGTATGTTTTTTTTCAGCTACATTATTGAATTGTGCTCTAACACATTTTGGTATGCCAATCATAACATTTTCAAATGGCAAATCATATACTTATTGTAAGGATCTACAAACATGGTAAGTTAATGTTTAACAAAATTAAATAGTATGAAGTAGAACTAACTTTAAGTAATTTATTTTTTGTTGCTTTATAGGATAATGTTATGTAATCCACGAGACCCTGTAATGAGGATAGGAATGTGGTCCGTCTCTAAAGCTACTCCGCCTCCTAGGGGACAAGCTTTGACTATTGCACAACATGCAATATCTGCCAAGTCCATGTTATATGGGTATATTTTTCATTATATTTTTAATAATGCTTACAAAGATGTATATTTATATAATATAAGATACTACTTAATATGTTATCTTATATTATATTATAGTCTTATATTATAGTCTTATATAGATTAGAGCATTTAAAATTCTAAAATTGATTATGGCATGCCATTTTGGCTCAAAAAATATATTATTTTATCTATTTCATTTTTAAATCGCTGCAGATATATGAACAATTCATTTCTTATATAAATTTTATGATGCCACAAATCCACTTACCACAAAAAAATACAGCAGTTCTGAAGTATTTAAAATTATAATAATAGATTGTAAATTGGGCTGAATAATTAAAACAAAACAAGAACTAGCTGTAAGTGGAATTCTGTCTTAAGGCAATTAAGGCATCGTGCCTTAAGGCAAATTGCTGGAACTTTCCGTACCAAAATTTTTTTTTAAAAAAACAATAACATTTTTGAAAAAAATTTACTTCAAAAAAATAAGATTTTTAAGAAACTATAAATTGGACCAAAAATTACTTTTTTTGAGAAAAAAAATATATAAAAAAGAAAAAAAAATTTTTAATTTTTTTTTTTTTTTAAAATTTTTTTTTTTATTTTGACATATTTTGGAAGATCTAAAGTTTTTTCAAAGCAATTGTACTGCTTTAACTGCATAAAGACAAAATATCAAAGCGCGTAAGCGCCACGTCGCCGTCTAACGCGTAAACATTGGTACGGAACCCATAGGAATGTAAACCAAATTCATACTTATTGTTAAAATCTCTATAAAATATCTGATAATTGATATGCATAAGTCTAATGATCATTTTTGACCGCCAAATGGCATTTTTTTACTTTTTCATTAGATCTCCGAAACCGCTAGACCTGCCTTTATGAAAATTTGATCGGTTCTTCACCTAGTCAATATAAGTAAAATGTTTTTTGAATTATTAAAATCGGACGCTCCGTTCTCTTAAAACCTGAGTACCGTTTTCGGCACTTTTTGCCCCGTATCTTCGGAACGGCTAGACGCTGCCTTCGCCAAAAACTAATCAGCACGTCTCCTTATCAGTACGAATCGAATGTTTTTTGAATTATTCAAATCGGTTGATCCGTGTTCCCGAAATCGTCGACGAAAATTTGTATCCGCACATACATACACAACACACACACGTACATACACAAACACCACACCACACACATACATCCATCTTTCTAAGGTATGCCAAATTTCAGAAACCTTTGAAACGTAAAGATATATAAAAAATTTATTTTCGATTTTTTGCGATTACTATAAACTTGCCCTACGGGAAGTTAACAAATACTGAGAATTATAAAATTCAATTAATTATGATAGTATGCTTTTCTTTAATTTTTAGTGCTGGTAATACTCGTCAGCATGCAGCAGCCCAAAGCTTTCTGGAATCACAATTGATAGCAAGTGAGGCCTTGAAATCAGCTGATGACTTCCGATATTGGCTAGAAGCGTTTATGGAGCATTTAGGAGCTCATGGGCCTGAGCAAGCATTGAGACGAGTACTAGATGATCTGTTGGGTTCATCTATTTTGATGTCCAAAGATGCAAATAATACTTCGAAACGAGAAATATTGGTAAATATAAATTTTATTTGTGACTAAATACCCTGAAAGTTTATGTTTGCTTCTATAAATACCAAGGCTATTAATTTATTTGTACTTTTATGGGAGGATTCATATTTTATTATTAATCTTTATAGGCTTATTTTTCATATTTATTAAATATGACTTCTTTATGCATGTTTACAATAATTTTATATCAACAATGCAACAGATATCATTGTAATCATTCTAAAATAAAACACAGACTATAATAGTTTGTTCATGTCATTTTTAGAATTTTTTTTATGTTGAAGAATTTCTGACCAAAATTATTTATCATTTCCAGGACTTGACAAAAATGTACTATTAGAATCTTGCCTACGAATTCTGAGGAAGCATGTAAATGGCAAAGAATATATTTAGAATATTCAGATCAGATAAATGAAATAAATGCTCAAAAGTTATTAGTTCTTCAAAATATATTATTCATTAAGAAAATATTATTACTTGTTTGTATAATGAAATTCTTAATCTAATTATATTTGAATAGTACTAATCATTTTGGTATCATATGTTAATAATTCACACAACTGACTGCCATTCATCTTACATTTTATTTTCCTAAGAAGTTTTATCACAACAAAACATGATTCCATTTCAATTGTAAATATTAAAAGTAATTTTTACAATTTAAATTATCATTTATTGCTACTAAATTTATATTTAATTCTAAATACAATATATGATGTACATTATATTATTTATAAAATTTGGAAGTATGTACATTTTTTTTATTATGTATCCCATAATATCAATTATACTATTTATAAAATATAATTTTGAATTATTTTATACTTTAATAAATAAATTGCAGAAAAACTGTTTGTATTGAATAATCTTAATTTTAAAAGTAATTAAAGAACTATCTTTTGGGCGTTTTGTATTAGAACGTTATTGTTTCAGAGAATTCAACATTATCGTTCGCCGACAAAAAAATGTAGCGCACCATATTGTCGAATAGAAGCACTGACACCTTCTATCTTAGTGCAAAATCCAGAGTAAACAAGTATAATGGTTCCTGTCTGAGAAAAGACAGCATAGCACATGTTTAACTAAAAAAGAGAGCATGTGCTCATAAATTGCAGTTTGTTCGAAGCGAACTATTTCCCTGTTCCTATCTTGTATTATTTTTATATCTTTGTTTTTTAGTTTGAAGACATTTTTTTGAGTTTGCATATAATAAAATATAAAAGAAATAACACAAAAAATTATGAGAAATATTTCATCCATGATAATATGTATCTGATTTTTTTTGTTTTCCATTTGACATATAATTAAATTAACATCTTTTGCCGAATATCACCTTGTGCTTTTTTAATTATCAAAGCTTTGTTTTACAAAAATGGATGAAGATGAAGTTGAACGATTTGAAATAACAGATTATGATCTAGAAAATGAGTTTTATCCTAGAAGTAGAAGACGTCCTACAAAAAATCAACAGATATATGGTTAGCTTCATTTTAAATTTATACCGTTTAATCCTAGGTTGATAATATCTGTGCTTGATATTTGAAATCAATCTTTTTAGCAGTTCTGATTATTTCTAAATCATAGCTTAAGAATATTGTTTTTGCATAATTTGTGTAAACATACTAATAACCAATAAGTTATTAAATTAAAGTTCTTTGACATAGTGAAGCAATTTATTACTTTTATTTTCTTCACTTCATTTGTGATTAATTTTTTTTCTATTTGTGTAAGGAATTTGGGCAGCGGATGATAGTGAAGATGATGAACCCAAATCTGGGAGGAAACGACCAAAGATTATAGTGCACCAGTCAACTTTATTGCTGGTGGCATTCAACAATCTGGAAAAAAGAAAAAGTCGAAGATGGGTAAAGATTATGATAAAACATAAATAATATGTGTTAAATTATATCATTTTGCTCAATTTCTCATGTTACTTGCTATTAATTAAAATTATTATTAAATAATAGTTTTTGAAAATGCAAGAGATTTATACATTATTACATTAATTAAAACTATATTTAAATCGTCAAATCAAATACAAAGGTGGTTAATTCTTTAGATGCATTGAATATTATTTGATTTGTATAACTCAGCTTTTATTTTCATTCATTACAATCAATTTAGAAAAGGAAGAAGAACCAGAAGTTATAAATTCATCATCGAGTGAGTCAGATGAGGAACCGAGGGCAAGTTTTAAAAGTAATGAGACAGCTGGAATGCGTAGTGTACAGAAAGGATTGTTCAACAAGGAGTTGGCAGTTGGGAGAAGCATACTAAAGGTATTGGTGCTAAGTTGTTATTACAGGTAACTATTAATAAAGAACGAAACGATTTAATATTATAATTAATTTTGGTTTCCAATTTTTTTGCATTAGATGGGATATCAACCCGGTAAAGGACTTGGAAAAACATTGCAAGTATTCTGCGCCAGTTCAAGCACATGTGAGAAAAGGCATGGAGCCATTGGAGCATACGGTCCTGAAAAGGCACCTAAAGTAGCTGATAAAAATATGTTGCTTTTATTATTTAATTATGATATGGTATTGATTCAACAATAATTGCCTAGTATTTTTAAAATATCTGCATAATGAATATTTTGTCCATTTTTTTTTGTGTATAAGTAATTTCAAATTTGTGTATAATAATTTCAAAATATGATTATGATATCGGACAAGCTACTGAAGATGGTAGTAAGAAAGAGTCATCGAGTTAATTTTTATAAACTTTAGTGAAATGAAAACGGAATCATTGTTGATAAATAAGCAACCAAAGATAGATTCTTTGAAAAAAGTAAGTAATTTAAATGTTGCTTAAATTTGCCCATCTTCATGTAAAATGAATGATTTTAGGGAATTTGAAACTACAAAAATAATTGATATGACAGGACCTACAAAAAGGGTTTTATCTGGATACCATGCTCTAAAACATACAAAAACTAATGATGATAATTATATATGATGAAAAAACAATATGCAGTAAAAATAATTTCTCACTACCGGAATTAATGCATAATTTAAATCTTATTGTAGAAATGTATGAACAGGTAAGTCTTTGTAAAGCCTTATATATATTTTAAAGTTTTAATTACATATTGAATAAAGATTCATGTTGAAATAATAATTGCAGAATATTATTGCGAATGATAAGATTGTGATGGACTCTCTGATAAATTAGTTACTATGGAACATGCTCATAAAGCTTTGCAGGATGTAGTTTCAATAGAACAAACTATATAAGTTCATTAGAAAAAGTATTTGAAATAGTACAAAATCTTAAGAGAGAAGATATAGGAATGAATGAACTGGCAGAACAATTAGTAATACTTCAGGTAAAATATTTTATTAATAAATATTTTTTAACTTGAAATTGATTTAAAATATAATTCAGTAATTTTTTATAAATAATAATAGGTCAAATTAATTTTTGTATATGAATGCATAAAATTGGAGTTGAATTTAATTCATAAATTTTTACTTTTAGTTTACTCCATTGATGTGCATTTTAATCATTTTTAATAGAAGCAACTGTGAAAGTACATTAGAATATTAAATTTAACAATAAAATCAATTTTTATTTTTTCACTTTGAGTATTAAAAGTTACGTTAAATATATATTTAATAGTACATACAGTATTAAATTATTTTTCGCTAATTAGTAACCATTTTATTAGGCTTTAAATTTTAAGACCTGCCTCCATTCATGTATATTTAAAGTGAATTGTAAATTTAACCGTTGTAAAAACAACTCTAAGTTATTAAATTATTGAAATAAAATCTTGTATCAATAGAGTAATCATGCAACGGAGTATGAAGAATATCAACTTTGGGACCTTGCTCATCTAGTTGTAGCTCCCAAACTAAAAACATTTATGAATGGATGGAATCCTCTGCATTTTCCAAAGCAGCATATACAGCTTATCGAACAATGGAAAGATATATTATATGATGGAAAGAAACAAAGTGGAATAGAATCATTTGGAAAATTGGTAAGATTTCATTTGTAATATAGACTTCATGTTCATATTGTTATCAAGGCATAAACTACACAATTGTTAATTATTGATATATTACTATATTTTATATTACTTAGTAATTATATTACTTATTACTATTAACTATTAACTATCAACTATTAACGATTCACTTATCATTTTTTACCATTTACTATTAACTATTCATTTATCACTACTTAATATCCACTACTTAATGCAATAACTATCAACTATTTATCTCTTAACTATTAATTTTTTATTATTTATCTGTTTAACTATTTAACTATTGAATTATTCACTTATCACTATCAACTTTTTAACTATTTAACTATTCACTTATCGCTATTCACTATCCACTATTTAACTATTAACTATTTGTCCATTAACTATTAACTATTCACATATCACTATTAATAATTAAATATTCACTATTTACTTAAGGATTTTTATTTATATTTATATTTAAATTTACATTTATATTAAAAGTACACATTTACCAAAACACAATGGTAAGTGTGCAAATTTACCGATGAATGTATATACGCACTATAATCAGTTTGGGAAATGTGCACATTTTTGTGCACCAAGAGTGCACATAAATTTATTTTATACAGCCTTTTAGCAAAACAAATGTTTAGAAAATATATTAAATTAAATATGATAAAGAAAAGTTCTGTTTATGCAATATTCCATAAAATTATTTATGAGTTATATATTCACTACTATTTTTTATAAAACATAACACTCACAACATCATCATTTTTGTTTTACAGTATAATGAATATTATTTTTTTCAGGTTTGGTTTAGCGTTTGCCCCCATTTACAATCAGCTTTAGAACAATGGAATCCGAAACAACCTAATGATGCTATCCAGTTTTTGGCAATTTGGGATCCTCTATTTACAAATTGGGTTCGTAATAATATTTATGACCAATTATTGTTACCAAGATTACAGAGGAAGTTATTAAATGGACCCTACAACTGACATAGTACCAATTCATATTTGGGTTCACCCCTGGGCACCAATTTTAGGTAAAATTGATAATTGATACAAAAATCAAAAAAAGTCATAATACATGTAACAAATTTAGTATTTTACTTAATCTTTAAATGTGAAGGACCCAATTTGTTTGTTAGTTAGATTGATTGATTGAATGCTATAAATTGAAAGTTCAATCTATTCACAAACAGAAATTTAGATTTTTTTTAAATATATCCTTTAGAAAGATATTGAAATAACAGAAATATATAAAATGTCATATCTAATAACTAATTTTCATTCTTCTATTTTTGATTTGGTTAAAGCTAATGTTTTCTTATTTTGATTTGTTTTTGACAATATAACAAATATTATATTAAAAATTGATTTGTTGATGTCTTAAGGATAATATTTTGAGATTCATGTACTTGATATTACATTTTTGTGATATATGTTTCATATTTGTCTTAATTATTATAGTTTGTAATTAATATTATTATGAAGAATACGAAATTGGAGTTGCTTTTTATCTTATTCATTATGATATGTTTTAAAAGAAATGAATATGAAAATGTTT